GGAGAATGTATGTTCTTAACACTGGATATAAACTTCCATCGAAACAGTACGTTTCTGTTTTAGATTAAAATGAAATAATACATTAAATTGGCTTGTTGGTGTCCACCAGCCATGAGGTGGTTGAAACCATAGGCTGCTTTGTCTAAGGACTTACACTGAATTTTTTAGGTTGGTAATATAACCTAATTCACTGTCACAGGTGGTTACAAACAAAATAATATATGGAAAGGATTCTCTCACAAAGTATCATTATCTGTAAAGTTACTAGGGCTATGTTGTATTACATATTTGTGTAATATTTCATTTGGCATTGTTTAATAGAAAGCTATTTGTGTTTTTCGGTTCTGCTTGTTAAGTGTTTGTTTTTGTTTCTCTTAACAGTGACTGTGTTCTTAAGCACTTTGACTCCAAAATTCTATTTTGCCCTTACAGTGACTTCGTCTTTTATATCTGGACTGATATTTGTAAGTAGTCCACTTTTATTTTTTTAAACAACTTTAGCACCTCTAGGATGCCTTCATTTGGGGTAAATGTAATCAGCTTTTTTTTGGTCAGACTCTAGAGGGTGCCTTTGTACTACAAAGGAACTTGTTATTTAGTAGCTTTTCTGATGTACATACTCTTTTGCTATGTGTGTTGCACGTTGGGGTGAGTCTAAGGAAAATGACTTGTACCTGTTTTAGAAACTCAGGCTTGTTTTAAGGAGGTGCATGTCCATATGTATCCATACGTGTGTATGTACGTAGATACATAAAAAATGCAAAATACACATGCAAACCCTGCAGACCTCTCTGTGTAAAGAAAACAGATTTTTATCTCTCTTAAACTAGGTAGTTAAGAGTTTAGCTTCCCACAGTTATTTTTGGGGGGCTTTTGTGCGTGTGTCATCATGTAACTATCTTAACGACTTTGGTGTGAAGATGAGCCAATAATTCAGTTCATCTTCACATGACAGTGTGCACAGATGTGGCTGACTTTGCACGAAATGAATGGGGCACACTTGCATGGTCAGTTCTGCTAGCACAGCTGTTTCTGCAGCGATGATCATCTGATGCTGATGCAGGCTGTGGTACTATATACAAATCTTTTGGGTTAATCTTTATTTTCAATATTAAAAGCTAAAGAAAATATCTCTTCTCATCAATTAAACCTACTTAGCAGAATGTACAAAATCTATTTCATAACTGATTTTTTGTAGCCAATATTTAAAAAAAAGTGTCTTATTTATGTGGTAGAAACAACTTGTTTGCTGTAAGTAATGTTGTTTGGGTTTTGATTGAAGGATTTGAGGAAAGTAATATAAGGAGATGGATTCTGCTTGCGATAGGTCTTTTACGTAGGTTTGCTCTTAAGAGAAAAAAGTGGTTATTGATCATCCACTATTTATAGTAATGCTTGTTAACAAAGAATGCAGTTTGTGTAAACATCACATCCTTCTGCATGCTAATGAAAATACTCAGATAAGTTGGTCCAGGGCTGACAGTATGGTATAGTGCTTGATGACTGTGACTTGCAGGTATTTTTAATAGCTTCAAAGAGAGAGATGGTAATATTTTTGACCGAAAGTTTCTGGTAAGTGAACTTGATTGCTCTTAATTCAGCCTTTCCTCTTTGGACTTTTCTGAATGGCAGAACGTGTCAGTTTAACTGTCTATTATGTGCTTTACTCTTTTAGATTATTTTTGTGAAATGAAAAAACTACACCTGTCTTGAGGTTCTTGCCTCTATGCACGGTTTTCCTATACAGGCACTTTCTGAAAGGGTTTAGAAGTTATCCTAATGACTTGGGGAGGGAGGAACATATGTTTGACTAAAATTTTACTGTTTTTTTCAGTCTCTTTCATGTTATGTGGGTGATCCTGCATGACAAGACAGGCCAAAACAGATAATTAGTGTTAATTTGTATGTAGATGAGTTCCAGCTATAGTAATTTGCAAGGGGATGTACTAGCTGTGAACAATTGACTCTTCATCTCTAATGTTTATGCTAGGTGTTGCCTAAGGAAATTTCTGGTGCTTTTTTCTCCTGTGACAGGTGTTTGAGTGGTGGCATTTCCGAAAATACGGCACGTCTTTCATTGAGCAGGTTTCTGTGAGTCATTTGAGGCCCCTCATCGGTGGCGTAGAAAACAGCCCTCCAGCACCAGCAGCGTTCTCGGCTGGAGAGAATGAGACAAGCAGACAGAACATGCCAGGTGATTGTTCATGTGTCCCAGCAGTTTTCTTTAAGCTTCAAGGCAGCTGGTTCACGTGAACTGGCTTTTAAGTGGCTTTGACTGCATTAGAGCTTGTAAGAACTGGAGAAAGGCCTACATCTTACAATGCGTTTTATTAATAATGGTAGATATAAACTAAATAATAATGCATCTTTGATCTAAAACATTCATTATTAAAAATATGATTTAGAAAATATATTACACAGCTAAAACTGTTTCAGTAACATTTTTACTGAACATATTTACTATTCTGAATATGTGCAAGGTAAACATTGCATGAGTGTAAATGTCAGTGTTTAATCTCTCCACCATGTGCTTTTGTACCCCAGCAATGTTCAGGAGCAAAAATATTTATGGGATAGCAGAAGTTTAGGGAGAAAGAGGTCGTATGATCATGCTCAGGTTATATAACAATAAAATTAAAGCAGCTTTTGAAAGTGAAACTGCATTTGCATTACTGCATTTTAAAGTCAAGGTAGTATTTCCTGTGCTCTTAATTCCAAAAGGACTTTTTTTTTTTCCCCCCCCAGAGTGCAAAGTGTGGCGAAATCCTCTCAATCTTTTCAGAGGGGCAGAGTACAGCAGGTATTAATTATCTTACTTTCCATTGCATGTTTTTAAAATTAATCGGGGGCATACACATGACTTCTTCACAGAGCTTGCACTAGTAATATCAGGAGACAGCTGAGACCTGCAAGATTATAGGGGTGATTAATACCAGTTCTGTGTTTAAAAGGCACCTATCCAAGCTTTGGCAGTTTCAATGTTAAGAACGCAAATACTACTATAACATCATCAGATTTTTTGAGAGTAAAGTAGGAGAAAAACTTTATTCAGAGGTTGAGACTGATTCTGAATCTAAATTCTCTTTTATTGAACTGATATGGCTGTATTGTAAGTCTCTTTGTGTTATTTCATAGGAAAAGCAGCTTCCTAGGAAGCTAGTTCCCAAGTTGTTTAGAACTTTAGGATCAAAAAGACTTACCCCCCCCCCCCCCCCCCCCCGAGCCTTCTGGCAACCTGTACAGATGATGGAGCAGTAGTACTTGAAAATTTCTGGTTAGTAGCTCCAGACTTTTATTAATAAAATTTTTTTGCACTAGCTTCAGTTGTTAGACACATCAGATATCCCCCTTGGTATCAGCATTACTGTTTACTAGGAGTGCCTCTTACTGAAATTTCTCCCATTAAAGATATATGTGGGTGACTGGGAAGGAGCCTCTTACATACTACGACATGAATTTGTCTGCTCAAGATCATCAAAACTTTTTCACATGTGATACAGATGCCCTTCGGCCTTCAGATACAGGTACCAGTGTTGTATGCGTAAGGTATATAACTGTTGGAGAGTGTAAAGTGGGTATTTTAATACACTTCAAGGTAGCGCAAGCTATCGTGTCAAATGTTTTGTGAAATCATAGCCTTTCTCAACTACTAAGGAGGTTTAATAGATGTATTTAGTGAAAAGATGGTTTTTTACCTTGTGCTTTCTCTACTGACTTCAGTGCTGTCAGGATCCTGACATATTTTAAGATCTCACACTTTTCAAATAATTAACAACACAATATTGAAAACCTGGATTGTATTCTCAACAGCCAAAGATCTGGTCTCATTTAAACCTTAGTAATGAACAATGCAGTCTCCAGAATTTTTTCATCATGTTCTGTATCTTCAGTGCAGAAAATGTTCTCTACCTGGTTATTGTCAGACTGGGTGCGAACTATTGTCAATTTATCAAGTTCCGGAAGTGTTACTTGTCAGCTGGCCGTGACACGCTTGATATGAACGATGTGTTTTTGTTTCACAAATGGAGTGTATTGTCTCGCTTACTAAGCCAAGACTAATATTTTGTTTCCAAAAGAAAACTCAAACATTTTTCCACCTTATTCTTGCTGGACAGCAGAAGGTTTTGTTCCAAAAGAAACATGTATAGATTCTTCAGTTTTCTTATCGTACTTGAGATAGGCCAGATATGTAACTTCATGAACGTAAGGTTTTGGAGTTCTTTCAGAACTGTTATTTAGTGTGAAAGCTGTTCTGCATAGAAAATGGTAGCTCCAAGTATGTTGTTTTTCTTTTGCTAGAAGTTGGTTTTCAGCTTGGGATTTCCATTTTTCCCTAATGGAAGCATAGTGGGGAAAGGGTTTAGAGTCATTGCATTGAACTTCTGTTTGCTCCTTATCTGACCATAATTTTGAATTCAAGTTGTAATTCAAATGACCCTTTTGAATAGATAGATTTCACCCTTTTTAATTGTTTCCTGGAACTCTTTCTAATAAGGTGATAAATTATTATAGTATATTTTGAATTGGCTTTGCCGTGTTATGCCATTCAAATGTGCTTTGTAAATTTAAAAATAAATTCTTTAACCCTTTATGATCTGGTAGTTAAGTATGAATCTATACCTGTGCAAGACACAGCTTACTCTCTCACTGTTTTCTTTGAAGTTCTGTTTGAAAGCTTAAATTAAAATTCTTTGCAGGTCCGTGCAAGAGCCTGTGTTTAACAATTGCTCCTGCCAAGCTTTCAACAAGTCTTGGGAAATGTTTCCAAAAATCTGTAGCAATTTAGAAATTGTACATCTGCCTGGTTATGTAAGCTATCTTTGCTTCTCAGTGTAGGAGTTCTTAAATGGTCAGTGAATAATCTTCCTGGTGGTGTTGCTTTCTTAAATTAAATTCGGGGCGTAATGAGAAGTTGCAAGATTCTGCTGCTTGTGGTAGAAACTCATGCTGGAATTAAAACACTTGTTTACTCTTCCCTCTAACAATTATATAGCAAACAGGAATTTGCAAAATGGGCATGAATGTTAATGCAGAGCTGAGGCATAAGCAGCCAGCGTTGCCTCCGTTGGCTCCCAGGTGTTTCGTCAGTGTCTCTGTCCCTCACCAGCCTCTCAATGTTTTTGCCACAGTTATGCAGAAAGCATGGCGAGAGAGAAACCCTCAAGCCCGGATTAAAGCAGCATATCAAGCTTTAGAGTTGAACAATGAGTAAGTTTAGAATATAAGTTCAATTGCTGTATTTCTAGTGTGAAAGATTAAGCGGAGTGATACTGAGCACACTATCAGTTTCTTGTTCTGATAATTTACTTTTAGCAAAGTTCTGAATAGCTTAAGGGGGACTTCTGTGACTATGAGAATTGCACATGGGGCTGTCCGTTGCACTGAAGTATTGAACTGTTCTATAAAAAAATAGCTTTTGTTCTCCCTTTTTCTTGGGAAAGATTTTTTTTTTAAATCTTTGTATCAGTAACAAATGAGAAATCCTATTCAGATGTGGAACAGTCTAAATTGAATATGAGATCGTATGTGTTTCAGAGATGGCATTGTGGTAATACTGTATTTGGAGTTCACAGGTGCCACTCCTGTAAGGGATTTAAAAATACTCTTATAACACAAACCAAAGCATTTCACGTACTTCTGTGATCCGTTTTGTTATGTAGTCTCGTTGGTTTTGTGTAAAATGCCTACCTCCTGGTTTTAAAAAAGCAAACCAAAGCAAACACAAAAAACCTCTCCAGACAATTACCAGAGCATTTTTAATATTTCAAGGAAAATAATTTGACTTGCTGTTACAATTCTTTCTCTTGTTCTTTCTCCAAATGTGTGTTTTTTCTGTAAAATGGAAAAGGTTTCTGTTTTCCTGACACTTGCCATTTGAACTCAAGTCAATATTTTGCTATTTTAATATTGTCAATGCTTAGATATTAAACATAAGTGAAAACTGCCCATTTCTAATGCTTTTAATACTTATTCAAAAAATACTAAACTTTGTCCCTCAGAATAATTAGTGGGTTTTTTCCTTAATGCAGTTGTGCCACTGCATATGTCCTCCTGGCTGAGGAAGAAGCAACAACTATTGTAGATGCTGAGAAGTATTTCAAGCAGGCTCTGAAAGCAGGAGAAATGATTTACAGAAAGTCTCAGAACTGCCATTCCCAAAGTCCCCAGCACGAAGCACAGCTGCGTAAGCACTTTTGAATCACGTAAACTCTTGGTTTTGTATGAGCAGAAGTGTAAAACTAAAGTTATAATTAGTGATTCTAGTTTGATTCCGAGTTCAGTGAGGCGGTTCCTACTATTTTAGCTAAGCTGACGCGTGGCGTGCTATGTGATATTTTGTAGTACCCAAATGAAACTCGGGAAGTGGCAGTTACGCTGTGTATTCGTTGTGGGTTGTCTCGCTGAGGCTCGGTACATTATTTTTCTGGAAAGTTGGATAGGTAGAGCAGACTAATGAAGCAATTAGTGTGTGTCAGTTACACCTTCTTTTATTCCACTCAACATTTTGAAAAACAGCAGAATTTTTTTGTCATTGAACCTAGTTAAAAGTTACTGGCATTTGTGTAGATGGGCCTTGGTTGGGACAGCAGTAGTAATTATTTTATGCCTTTACATATGGTTAGGAAAAAGGTTGTGGGGTTTTTGGTGGTGGGTTGTTTTTTTTTTTTTGAGAGAGGGGGAAGGAGAGGTAAGGATTGAAACTGATAGACTAATTTTTTTTTGTCTTTGTAATCAGGAAGAGACACCAATGTATTGGTATATGTGAAAAGGAGACTAGCTATGTGTGCAAGAAAACTTGGAAGAATACGAGAAGCAGTAAAAATGATGAGAGATGTAAGTAAAAATAAAAAAGTGAGCAACTGTTGTGTTCAGTCACACTGTCCAAATTGATGGTTTAAAGTTCCTTTCTAGGCATCACAATGAATCTAACGGAATTATTTTCCAATGAGATTTGCACATCATGATTCATGGTTTTTTTTGAGAACAGTTTTTTTGGTTCCTACGTGTAGGTTTTAAATTTTTACATTATATAATGTCATGTGCACAGTTCTGTTGTCCAGTTTGCTTCATGCTTGACTCAGCAACTAACTTGTCAAAATAGCCAACTTTAGACTTCAGCATAATTTTTCTTTCACTTGCCCAAGGTGTATCGTAAGTTCTTTTTTCAAAGGAAAACATTACTGACCAAACCAACTCACTGTGGGAGTTGTGCAAATTTGGGCTGAGAGTGTGTTGTATGAACCTCAGTATACTTATTTTCCGGTAAGTGAATATAGGGAAAAAAGTAGGGTAGAAATGATGTGATTCTTTTCATACTGCTTACATGCCAGTTTCTAACACTGTGAAAGAACAGAACATTGAAAAAGCTTAAATTATTGTACTGATTCCTATTAAGTATTTCAGGGATTCAAGTGCAATTCTGTATGTGCTTAATGTGTTTCTCTTCACTGATTTTCAGTTGATGAAAGAGTTTCCACTTCTCAGCATGCTGAATATTCATGAAAACCTCCTGGAGGCACTGCTGGAGTTACAGGCTTACGCAGATGTCCAGGCAGTTTTAGCGAAGTATGATGGTAAGTGATGCCTGTTGGGAAATACTGGTGGTTTTGTATAAGAGTATAGGTGAGGTGGGCAAGGTGTGCCTGTCCAAAAGCAGATGACTACCCATGATCTCAGCTAGTTGACTAGATTCCCTTCATCGGCAACAAATAGGTGCTTTCAGAGTGCAAGTCAAGTTTTTTCTTTTGAACGATGAGGTCAAATTTAGGCAAGCTAAATTGCATAAAAATTGCTTTTAATGTTTTTAAGTTACTTCTGTAAAGAAATCTTGGAGCTCACTTTGCTTCAATTCAAGGATTTTTTAATTTTTTAATGTCTTCTACATCCCTAGTTATGCCTAAATTCATCAGCCTTTTTCAGTCAGCACATAGCCCCCTAAGTAATTGATGTAAATAAGCTGGAAGAGGTAGTTTTCCCTTCTGTCATCTTCTAGGCTTGGCCTCGTGATTCTGTAATACTGAGGTTGCTTGCCAGAGATTAGCAACGTGCAAGCGTACTGCTTGCCAGAGATTAGTGGTATGCAAGCTTTGGTCCATTAAATGGTGGTAGTTTGCTTTCACTTTCCATCTCAACTAATATGTTTCAGGTGTTGTGCAAGTCTAGGTAAAGGTTAATAAAATATACACTTACTTTCTTATTGTCCTCAGAGTTTTGCCACCTAGATAATGCCCACATCATTAGTGTACAAAGTGCTGCTGTCAAAGCTGTCCCTTAAATCATCTTCAGAATGGAGGGACATAGAAGCAGTATTTTGTGGCAATCATTCCCTGCCCTTGAGAAGTCGGTATGTTCTTTCTTGTGTCTCTGTTCTTTATTGCTTTGGGGAATCGAAAGTATGATATTCTTGCCCAAATCCTGTGCCCCTTGTGTGTGGCCACCCTAGCAGCCTACTCCTGTTACTTGACTGTCCGTGTTCTTCTGTGTGGATTCTTATTAATTTAACAAAACTAGTTGTCTTTTCCTGGTGCTTCTTTATGTTAACATCAGGAATTGCGACACTTTCTTAGGGAAGGTTGCTGATTTTTTTCTAAGCCTCTGGAAAAATGAGTATGAGCATCAAACTCTCTATAACGCCCCTGTGTTTTGCTTGACACGACAGCCAGACTTCTAGTAAGTGATGGACAAGCCCAGGATGGGATTTACAAAAAAAAGCAAGAGCCATCTGACTATACACAACATGGTACTTGGGAATTAGACCTCAGACTTTGTCTGCTTTTAAAGTAAACTTGTACTGTGGAGTGCTAACCTTCTAATCTGTAATTGTCAGCTCAAACTTGGCCTCAGAATTCTACAAAACCTACAACTAACAGAATTTTTCCCCATGGAACTGGAAAAGAATGGAAATTGCATTTTCATTAAAGTTTGTCTACCTGTCTGTAATGTAATTTTTTTGGTCAGCTTCTAGTCAGTCTCTCTTTCAGTATTATGTAAAACTCTGTTAATGTACAGTTGCAAAATCAGGTAAAGATTAGAAAGTTATTTTAAACCTTCGTGGGTTAATACAGGAAAAGTACACTGTTCTTGAGCGTATATTTCTACATGCATTTCTCTTTGAATCCAGTTTCAGTGTCTTGGTATGTTTAGAAGAAAAAATTAGTCTTTACCATCTAACTAAAAACTCTTGAGTTTTTAATCTGAGACTGACTGGTGACTAGAAAGAAATCTGGTGCAAAGAAATGCAAAGTTTCTAGTCATAGCTGAAATGTTCCAGATGTTGCATTCATTGTCTGCCCAAGTAAAAATCTTTAAGCTCAAAGGATGTGGGTTTAAAATGTTTGTCTTGCCTTAGAATCTTACAGCTTAATTATTTTATTTTATCATAGATATCAGTCTTCCAAAATCAGCAGCAATATGTTACACAGCAGCCCTGTTAAAAGCCAGAGCCGTTTCAGAAAGGTAAGCAAGCACATTTGTGAAAACAGTGGTTTGTTGCTTATCTTGGTTATGCTGTAAAATATGAACTAAAAAGGTCTAAATCCAATATGTAGCAGTTATGTTTCTAACAGCAAGTTAAGTGTATTTATATATACATATATATGTGTGTGTAGTTAAATGTAATTTAAAGTTTCTTTCAAGCATCCATAAAGTTAATACGGGTGAAGATGTTCTTCAAGAGCCCATGTATGCACATGTGCTTTTGTATAAATTTTGTTTTCAGTGTTGTGCTTGTGATGTTCAGCAGTTCTTTGTTTTGTGGATTGCGTGTAGAATATTTGTGGTAGTTCATGTTGGCATTTCACTTTCGTTCTGGTCTATTTTCAGAGCTGATTCTAGCTTTACCTCTGAGTACGTGATGTTGGTAACAATCTAGGAAAGACTGGGCACTCAATTACCTTATGTGATTGCCATGAAGTTTCAAAAAGTTAAACGTAACTGTCATAGGGGCATGGATGACAGTCAAGATACCTAAATTAACATGAACATTTGTCTCCTAGAAGGGTTTGTTTATCTTTCTTGATAAATCAGTCAATTTTTAATGAACTCCAAGCTTACAATGCAAATAAACACCTGGTTAGCATTTATTATTTACTTTTGCTCAGCATGGGTTTTTCCCTTCAGGTTCTCCCCAGAAACTGCCTCCAAAAGAGGGCTCAGTACAGCAGAGATTAATGCTGTGGAAGCAATTCACAGAGCTGTGGAATTTAACCCTCATGTTCCAAAGGTAAGAGTATTTTATTTCCTATTGGACCACTTTTTATTGTCTTCTGAAAGAAGTCATGTTATGTTATCATCTTGTTATTTGAGCCTTTCTAGCCCCACGTTTTGTTGAAGGTGGTTGTAACTCCAGCCATTGAGTTGTTAAACACACTAGTATTTGTATCATGAATGTTTGGTGGCCAGAATTAGTTGCTTGCAATAGGTGATGTTTAAACTGTTTTTTTTACAAAAAATTTAAACTCAAAATTTTCTAACTCATTGGAAAATCCAGTAATGTATTAATGAAGGCCCTTTGTTGGGTAAGGGTAAGCATTAATAAGTATAAATTTAGATATTTAAAATCCCTGAAGCCAAATTAAGTTCTGCAAACAATAACCACTCATAGTATCTCAAAATACTTTTTTTCTTCTGTGCTTCCAAGCATGGCTCCAGAACTCAGGTTATTGAAAGATCTACGGTCACTTATTTTCTTCATCCACGTATAAACAAGATTAAATTACAGCCTGTAGCAATACCGACTCTTAATGTCTAGCATTACTTGAAGTGGCCAGGATACGAATTCCACTGAGCATTGCGTGAAAATAAAATCTTACGTTGCTTTTTACTGTACTAGTATTGTGATGCATTTAGTTTGAAACCTTGAATGCAGAAGGTTGGCTTAGTCCTGGACCTAATCCTCTGCAAATGATCATGGAGTCCGAGTGACTATTGCTGTGAAGGCTCGAATTATCCAGCCGCTCTATTCTGTCTGCCTGTCCAATCTAATAGAATGTGCACTGAGAAAGCTAATTGCTGGGAGAAATTGCTGCTTGTTTGCATGACTGATCAAGAGCGTAGCAAGTTCATTTCAGACAGTCTCAGACAGATTTTTCTTTAGCCTCTGCCTTTAGGGGAAGAAGATTATAACGCATTATCATTATCTAAAAGTTCTTTTATTTTGTATATCCTTCAGTTGTTTCAGGAGCCTCATGTACCTTTTTAAAGAAGTTAGATATCATTTCAAACAGGCTGTTTGCAAAATATGTTCCACAGTTCTACAGACAATCATGGAAACTGATTCCAGGTTTCAGTTTTTTTTTTCAGATTGATAAAATATCAATATGATTTATCAATATTATAAACTGATGCCAGGTTTTTGATCTTCTCTTCTAATTGTATACCTATCCAGTCGTCTTAATGATTTTTTTTTTTATTACAATACTGCCTTGAAACACCGATTTATTAGGTGGCAGGGCAGAATTTTATTGGTGCTGGCTATCTAGAGCTCTGAAATGCTCATAGTTAAAGCAAACAAATGAACAAGGGCACAAACAAGTGAAGTAACTTGCCCAATGGGTTACAGTGGACTAGTGGGGAAGAAAATCTGGTTTTTGAATTTGCAGTTTGTTCTGTCCTGTGGACTAGAAATAAATGAGTATTTAAAGTAGAAATCCGTTTGTTCTCGCATCTGATGAAAGTGGTTGTCTTTGCACATAACATCATTTTGCATAAGGAAAATAAAATAATGTTTGTTTCTCTTTGTTCTGAGTTACGCTTTTACAAGGATGGGTTTTGTTTGGAAAGTTAGGAAGGCATTTTACAGTGTTAGAAAACTGGTACTCTTAAGCGATTTCAAATAAGAGATCTGTAACTACATTTTGGTAAGGTATGAAACAATCTTCTGCAATCATCATCTTAATATCTTACAAATTTTTATTGTGTAGAAAGACTTTCTTAAATCTGCAAAACCCAAGATATTTTCAGTACTGATACCTTGCCTCTCTTATGGCTAAACACGGACATGAAAACCTACCAGACTGTGGAATTTTTCTGTTTATGTGGTAACATGGGCGCAGAGACAGCCAAAGCGTGGAGTCCAACATTGGCATGTTGTGGCAATACTTGCAGCGGGGCTTCGTCATCACTACTGCGCTGATATTCCCTTGCTCTCTGCCCAGTTAGTGCAGTGGAAAAGTGGGCACTGCGGAGAGCATGAGGAGTCAGGTCAAGGGTCAGATATTTGAGACCATTTTCCCACAGCAGCCCTGTGCGAGTGATCCTTTACTGTGTTTAAAAAAAAAAAAAATTAAAAAAAAAAATTGAAGAGGATTAGAGGGGATTAGCAAGAATATTACCCTCTGGAGTGTAGGCCCAAGGCACTAAGAGAAGAACCTAGCCAGGCAGTAAATGTGCTTTATTTGGCCGGGGCACAACCCCTCCTACATTCCTTCAAGAATCTGAATGGGAAAAGTTAAGTCCTCAAACTGGATTAGTAAATAATCTCATAGTTTGTGGCATCTGCTGAAATAAATCAGCGAGTCAGCTGCATTCTTACACTTCGGGAGACAGTCAAAGGAATTGCCAGCTACATTGATCAAAGATGTGGATTAACTTTGGCTGTTATTGAATGAGACACTATATGCTAGGAGAGAACAACTCACAGGTAAATACTGGAGCTGAAACTGTCATTTCATTCTTGTAAAAATTACTCATCTGTTTTTAAAAGCTAAGTTCAAATGAATACCTGTCTTTTTTTAATGTACCATCAGAAAACAAAATTGCATGTCCTGTGTTTCAAGGGAAAGGGAAAATGATTAATCCTTGTGTTCTTTGACCCTTCTGTGCATCAGATATTCTGCTGATGCAGGGAGAAGGCTGAAATTGAAAAAATATGAAATCAGACATACTTTGTGGTAGTCCAGCAAAACCACATTAAAACAAGATTTTCCTGGGTTTGGTTTATTATTCTTCTTTTGGTTACTATACTGACACTTTCTGGTTTGCTACTTATACTTGAGAGTTAACAAGTACTTAGCCTCCTACATTGAAACTTTCAGCGATTAAATGATGAGCAAAGATACTGTTGGTTTGGGTTTTTTATTAGCTTAAACATGTAGCTTGTTGGTATTGTACTTGTGGTATTATACTTTCTGTATTCCACGAGAATGTATTTTTATTTTGCCTTACTGAAGATGCATTTTTTTTCCTGATATTTTGTGTGTGAAAATCCCAATTTAAGAGTCTTCTATACAGATGTGTGTTTTGCTGCTTTTTATTTCCCATGCGAGTGCAGGTTGTATGCACTGTGTCAGGATTGGGCTGTTTCCTCAACAGGTAGAAGTTGGCCCCTGTGTGATATGCTCAGTTATGCCTCAAATGATTATTTACGTTTCACCATTAAAGATTTTGGAATATTCCGTGTAACCAAGTGTGCTTTCCATTTTTACTTTCAGTATTTACTAGAAATGAAAAGTTTAGTGCTACCTCCAGAGCATATTCTGAAACGAGGGGACAGTGAGGCAGTAGCATATGCTTTTTTTCACCTCCAGCACTGGAAGAGGATAGAAGGGGCTCTAAATCTGCTACACTGTACATGGGAAGGCAGTAAGTATCTCTCCTTGTTTTACTTTTTTCTGTACAGTAGACTAATCTCTCTGTCTTTATTCACCTCAAACACGATTGGTTCTCTTTGTGAGAAGCTGGTCGCTTGGTTTAGATTACAGATCTAATGCCACTCACTCTTTTTTCAGCATTTAGGATGATCCCGTACCCATTAGAGAAAGGTCATCTTTTCTATCCCTATCCGAGTTGCACAGAAACAGCAGACAGAGAACTGTTGCCAAGTAAGTGGTTTCTAGGCAGTAATGATAATAAAACATAAGCTAAGGACATGTTCAGTTTGTGGTATTCTGTATTTACCTTACTGTGATTTTTTTAGTTTGAGCTTCCTGTGAAGGGGATTCAGCTATTTGTTGATGTCCCTCCCAAACGATCCTGAAGCACTTGACGTGTGTGTGTGGTAAATGTTAGCTTGATTCTGTAATAACGTAAGTCCTTCAAAGATGAAGTCTGTGTGTGGTACGTTCAGACTAAGTTTGGCCAACTTTGAGAACGACAAAATGGACCAGTTCTTCAAATTACTTTTGAAAGAAGTCATGGATTTGACTACTGTTGTACAGGAGCCATTTCATTTTAGCAAGAAATAAATGCATGGTTCCAGTCCTGCATTCAGGTATCTAGCAGAACCTGTCTGTGATCTTACAGAGAATCCTTGGTTAATCTATAGCTTCATAGAATATGTATTGCTTTCTGTCATTAATTCATTGGTATATATTTGTCTGCTGGACAGTATGCTTCCTGGAACTTTTTATCCATGTGGGTATTTTTATGGATTTATACCAACACTTGACAGTGAAAAGTAAGTCTCTTCCAGCTGCCCATTACTTCAAGATTACTTTATGCAATTAGGAGCCTACATGTCTTTTTCTTTAGGTAAAGCAAACAAACTAAATCATTAGGGCCCATGCTCACCATATTTAGGAAAATAGCATTAATTTAGATTAGAATTGGACTGCTAATTGTACATGTTAATAGAATTCCTTTGGGGGTGAACTTCTACATCATGAAGAATGCAAATCCCACGGGACTGGAAAGGGCTACTGCAAAAGCACCAGCAGACCCACTGAGACCACAGCTGTGGAAAGGAAAACTACACATACGTGTTTCTATTTAAAAGCCTGAAGTTATATTTAAAATGTGTAATTTAAATTTGCCCCCAGACTGCTTTAAATTACTCATTTCTCACTTATGCAGGATATTGCATAAGGAATTCCTTGGTTAGCAACTAACCCTAAATTGTAGACTTCCCAACATAATTAAAAACCAACACATGCAGATATTTCAACACGATCACTCACGCATTCCTGTTATGTTTTAAATATAAAACTACCCATAAATAAAATCATCTTAACACTTTTATTGCAGTACTTCCTTGAGAAATCTTGACAATTTTTTAAAATTTATCTATTTAAAATAATGTTGACCAAATTAATGATTCAAAAATCCTCTATTGGTCTGACTTTAACAATTCTCAAATGGCTGTGAACATACAGAATTATCTTTAGTTGTCCTTATCTATTTTGGATTTGATTTTAATTTCC